CAGTGTGAACTGTACAGTTCAGAGTCACAGAGCCTCCTGGCTGGATGGTCTCAGATGCTGACTGATGGACCAAAGTTGGGACGTTCAAACCAGAACCCTTTACACTGACAAAAGTCCCCCCCTTGAAATCCAAGTCGACTGTATAGCTACTTGCGCAGTAGTAAGTAGCTGTGTCCGAAATTTGCAGATCTGTTATCCTCAAGTGATATTTACCGAATGCAGCGTCCAATGTGAAGCGTGGATTCTTGAATTCAGCATGAAAAGTTGCCTTTGTGTCGTACTTGTAGAAGGTAGAGATATACCGTGGTTTCTGTCCAATAATCTGTTTAAACCAGTAAAGCTTTACTGCAAAAACGTCTTCATAGGAACATTGCAATGTCAAGTTTTCCCCAGTTTGAACCGATAGAAAACTATTCTCTTGATGAACAGATGAGGAGAAATTCAGATCGGTCGTCTGAACTGTAGTGATAGGAGAGACGAAGCAAATACACTTCATGGTAACATGAATCAACACATCAGAAGCAATGCCACGAGGAGTGTTCACACACTTTAAAAGATTCAAACTGCAATCACAAAAAACACAACTCACCCATTTTCTCCAAGAACAAACATGTCAGATAGAAGACAAACTTTGGAGATGTCATCGTGTTCAAATTCTTGTGTTGAATGAGAACAATCTAGATCCTTCTACACGTTTCACTCACAAGACTGTTTGATTGGCCAGCAAAAAGTGACACTACATCCTATTTAGGAAACTTGATCACATGCTCACTGCCACCTTTCGAGTCAAATTAGTTTTTTGAGCAACAGGTTCACTAATTTTGAGATATATAAGGAACATAACGGTTTAAATCACTAGGAAATAATTTATATTTGTGTCAAATACAAACACATCTGTGACGTGACAGTGCAGTTATAATCACTGTGTTTAATAGAAAGGTAACAAAACACTATTTTGAGCAGTTCAATCCAAGCATCCATACTTGATACTATACTGATATACTCAGCTCTCTTTTCAAGCTGCAGTAGGGAGAAATAACATTGTACTGTGTGCTACATTAAAGAGGATTATATTCTTACGATTAATCATTGTAAAAAATGTATTCTTCTAAGACTGCACGAACAATGAAAATAAAATAACAATCAGGCCTCTCTGTATGACCCTAAGTGTGTATCGCTCCACCTGGCAAACTGAGGACAGGAAGCGGAGGGTTAGAACATGGATGTAAATATAACTAGACAGCTGAGTGAAATGTGGTGGAAGAAAAATAAGCGAAAATGTGAAGGAGGAATCCCAGAGATGGTGAGAAGGAACAAATATTTACTGTATGTGCCCCCTGTTCAGACAAAAACACTGTTCAGTCTGCTCGTTGGAACCGGATTCAAAGATGAAGAGGAAAATAAATATGTATTTTTTGTTGATTAGCATGTAATATTACCAAAATACTAATAACTTTACATAGTGTTAGACTTATAAAGACATTAATAAAAACATTGTCATAATCATCATATTTCATTTTTGCTAATAGATCCCCTGAAATGCCAAACACTGTACCTTTAAGTCCCCCTCCTGTAAAGCCCAGTCTGCTCTGATTGGCTCATGAGGTACATATGCAGCACTGTTGCAAAGGTAGTTCTCAAGCCGTGGGTGGAGATACTCTGATGGGGGCCGGTTTATTCTGAGGAACCTGCATGTGTAAGTGGAGCCAAATCTGAATGGCTTGTTGAATCACATGTTTTCTGATCTGGATGGCCCACAAAGAACTGACTGGATGTCTTATTTCATAATCCAGATACCCAAATATATTTGCACAAGCACTGAACAAGAGAGTTTTTCATGATGTGTTGTCTTTCAGCTGCTGTTTGACTCTAGCGTTTAGAGAGGCAGCAGGTCTTTTACTGTAAACTGGCCAACAGCTTTGTGGCATCTTTCATTCATTATCATAGTTCCATCCATCCATCCATTTTCCTCCGCTTATCTTATATACTGTATGCACCTCCTGTTCAGACAAAAACACTGTTCAGTCTGCTCGTTGGAACCGGATTCAAAGACGAAGAGGAAAATAAATATGTATTTTTTATTGATTAGCATGTAATGCTACCAAAATACTAATAACTTTACATAGTGTTAGACTTATAAAGACATTAATAAAATCATTTTCATAATCATCATATTCCATTTCTGCTAATAGATCCCCTGAAATGCCACACACTGTACCTTTGTGTCCACTGTGTCTTTCAGCTGCTGTTTGACTCCAGCATTTAGAGAGGCAGCAGGTATTTTACTGTAAACTGCCCAACAGCTTTGTGGCATCTTTCATTCATTATCATAGTTCCATCCATCCATCCATTTTCCTCAGCTTATCCGGGGTCGGGTCGCGGTGGCAGCAGGCAAAGCAGGCTGACCCAGACTTCCCTCTCACTGGCAAAATGTTCCAGCTCATTCTGGGGGATCCCGAGGCGTTCTCAGGCCAGCTGGGAGATGTAATCCCTCCAGCGTGTCCTGGGTCTTTCCCGGGGTCTCTTCCCAGTTGGACGTGCCTGGAAAACCTCCAGTGGGAGGCGTCCAGGAGGCATCCTAATTAGATGCCCGAACCACCTCAGCTGACTCCTTTCGACGCGAAGGAGTAGCGGCTCGACTCCAAGCTCCCTCCTGATGACCGAGCTCCTTACCCTATCTCTAAGGCTGAGCCCGGCCACCCTACGGAGGAAACTCATTTCGGCCGCTTGTAGCCGCGACCTTGTCCTTTCGGTCACGACCCAGAGTTCGTGACCATAGGTGAGGGTAGGAACGTAGACCGAGTGGTAAATTGAGAGCTTTGCCTTCCGGCTCAGCTCCCTCTTCACCAAGACGGTCCGGTGCAGCGCCTGCTTTACTGCTGCAGCTGCACCGATCCGTCTGTCGATCTCCCGCTCCATCTTACCCTCACTCGTGAACAAGACCCCGAGATACTTGAACTCCTTCGCTTGAGGTAGGCACTCCGTCCCCACCTGGAGGGAGCAATCCACCGGTTTCCGGCAGAGAACCATGGCCTCAGATTTGGAGGTGCTAACTCTCATCCCCGCCGCTTCACACTCGGCTGCAAACCGCCCCAGTGAATGCTGGAGGTCACGATCCGAGGAGGCTAACAGGACCACATCATCTGCAAATAGCAGAGAAGCGATCCCGAGACCCCCGAGACTGACGTTCTCCGCCCCCAGGCTGCGCCTAGATATCCTGTCCATGAAAGTCACGAACAGGACCGGTGACAAAGGGCAGCCCTGGCGGAGGCCAACACCCACCGGGAATGTGTCTGACTTATTGCCGAGAATGCGGACACAGCTCCTACTGCAGTCGTACAGAGACCGGATCGCCCGTTGTAACGGGTCCGGCACCCCATACTCCCGCAGCACCTCCCACAAGAACCCCCGAGGGACCTGGTCGAAAGCCTTCTCCAAGTCCACAAAGCACATGTAGACTGGTTGGGCAAACTCCCAGAACCCCTC